TGCAAAGCTGTTTGTGTGACTGTGTTCCCACTGGTATTGCACTGACCTGCACATTTCCTGAGGGCTTCAGGGAGCATATTTTTTTGACTCCTAGATCTGCACTACACTCAGCTGCTCTGTTGTCCTGCCCTGTGAAACGGTTTATTTATCCTTCTAGATGTTGGTAGGAAGTCGAAAACCATCTCGACTGAAGTGGTACAGCCTGTGTATTAACAGCAAAGCTGGCCAGATACTGGAAAGCTCAGCTGAGAGTGTTGAAGTGGGTCCTTGACAGCCCAGGTAGCTCAGCTTGCAAACCTCACTTGAAGCCAGCAGGTGTGCCTAAGTGGATTGTGTGCAGAGCACCACAGCTCTCACTGTGTGGAGTGCTCTTCATCCACTGAGCACTTCCCCCTAGACCAGACATGCAAAATACTCCCTCCCCAGCCAACTGCCTCTGCTGGAGGCACCTTTACAGTCCCACAGCTGTTTTTCCAAGTCTTCTACTGACCGTAATATGGCCAGGAATGTCTAGTTGGTGACTGTACTGAGAGCTGGCCAGAAAAAAGTGCTGGCATACGCAAAGCTCTTTAGCCTGTAAATAGGTATCTTCTGTAGGGGTGAAAATCAAATCATCCTCCTGCCTGGCAATCACTGTTTCCACTAGGGGACCCCGCTAGCTCCTGATGTGGTCTTTACAAGTCTTTACAAGACTGTCTTCACACAGTCTTTACAAGCTGGAGATAAGGGTTCATAGTACATGCCTGCTCACCACCACCTTACCACCACCTAAATTATAGCTGGATTGCCCTCTCCAATCTAACCTTTTGAGGCTTTGACAAGGCTAAGTGCATCCTACACTCTGAGTGTGCTCCATCATTTCCTTCACGATGGCTGCAAGTTCTCTGCTCAGTCCTGCTCCTCATTCTGGGTAAGGCTGGAGGCTCCTCTGGACACCTCTGGTGCTAGGCCAGATTCAGGAGGACAACAGAGAGCCCTGCTCTCTGCTAGGAGAGGTCACAACCAGCCAGGTGTGTCACAACCTTCCTACAACTTCAGGCTTCCAAGGCACTCTCAGCTTGAGGAATTTCGACCAGGAATAGCAATAAGAGTCCTTTGCAAAGTATTAATTTGCAAGCATGGTGTTGTATATTTGTTTCATATGGTGCATATTATTTATATAAATAAAAGTCTTACAAACAAGCACCTGGTTTTGTCATTTTTTTGGTATCATGTGGGTGAAGGAGGAAAATTGGATACAGAGGATTGATGTATCATCTCTTCTTTCTGATTTCTGGAGGCACAACTTGGAAATATTAAACTGTTATCATACTTTTACTTGTAGCTTTGAAGTTATTGACAATGTCACCCAGCAGATCAAGGCAGATAAATTGTTCAAGTACTTTGGAAATACTACCAAAAATCTCTGAAGTTATTTGAGATGCTTCTTTCCTTGATGGCCAGCCTATTCTGCCCATTCATGACTCATAATTGGCCACAATGGACACAGAAGGGCTGACCCAATATGCTTCACAAAAGAAGAGGAGAAGCAAAGATGTGTAAAGAATCATCGTCTTTCAAATTCTGGTATTGGCCTGCACAACAGCATTGTGCTTCTCAGTGAAATTGTTAGGAAAAAATTAGCATTTTCTTAAAAAGGAGTTGAGATACTGGTTTTTGTTTAAATTTTGACTAACACTGAGTTGAAGATACTTGTTGAAACATGACAACAGGTGACACTGTACAGGAGGAAAAAATGCAATGAGTAAATGCAAAGAATCATGAACTACATTAAGAATACATCCTATGTTTATATTCTTCTTAACTTAAATTTGATTAAGTACAGAGTGGACTCTAGAGTTAATCCATGTGATTCAGCTATAGGAATTTAGCTATTTTGCTATGGAGATTGTTTTAACTGTACTTTTTCTGTTCACAAATACCAATTCATATTGTTTGTTACAAGGCATTCTTTAATTTGGCTTTCTAAATTAATTCAACCTCAAACACTTTAGGTGTCTCTGCCAAGAATAACTCCCTGGAGGGCGGCTGTTATGGAGTAATGTTACTTTTTTAGCCTAAGATGTTTTTCTTGCTTTGTAGACTGTGCATATAGTGAACATTTCACTGCTGATAATATATTTTTGAGGACCACTTATCTTTACAGCCTTATGGAGATTGTGGGTGTGCTGTTCTAGGTGTCTCTCTCCTTTATATGCGCCTGGACAAAATCTAAGCTCTCAAGGGGAGTGTGGCAAATACACCTCCGGCCCAGGCTGCCTGAGCTGTGGGAAATGGGGGCTTGTGATTTCTGGGAGGGCATTTCCTCCCCAGACTGTGGGGAGCAGCCAGAGCAGGGGCTTGGTGCTGGCTGAACCCCCAGTCTCACTTGATCAACACTCCGTGGTTTGCAGCAATGAACAAGGCACAGGCACATGCAAGTAGCTGTAGAGGATCGGTCCTTGATAACAGAGGAAACAGGACAAACGGGATGGAATGGTGACTGGCGTGGACAGCTCTGCATGGCTGCCATCTCCTGGTGCACAGGGGTGTCTGGCATCCTGCTGAGGGTGTTGCCTTGGAGGGATGTTGATCCATACTGCAAACAGCTCCCAAAGTGTGCCTCTCAACAACCCCCAGAACATGTCCACAGAAGAGCAGGACACTGACATCATTACCACAGCTGCACACAGCAACACTCCAGGTCTGAACACGGTGTCCTTGGACTTTGCAATAATAAGAAACAGATCACCATTAAACAATGCAAAGACACACTCCTGACCCTTACAAACACAAGCATGTCTTCTCCCTCCTTGCTTTCTCTTCCTTGCCTGCATGCTTGTACTTGGAAATCAGGATAGAAAGGGGTTTCAGGGTCATGGAATCTGGTCCCTTGCTACTTGTCCCTTCAGGGGGTTTTCAGCTTAGATGTATTTGTGTCCAACATTGTCTTTGGGTACATTTTTCTACTCTCCCTGATGCTGACCCTTTAGCGTTCCTATGAGCAGAAATGACATTATTTCATCATATATATATTAAATATTCACAGTGATGGAAGTCAGATTTGGTTCACAGAAGAAACATGAAGGGATTTGGCAGAGAAGAGACCCCTTGTTCAGACAACATGAGCAATGATGAGCAGAGCCTTAGCTGGGGAAGGAGAAAGTGGGTTGCTGCAAGAGCAGAGGTCATAGTGGATGAGAAGGCACCAAAGGGTGGCAAGTATTCTGGAGTTTGCCTTTGGCTTTTAAACCTCTCATACACTTCTGTCTTAGGCAGGTTTCCCCTCAGGCTTCCAAACCCACATCAGATATGGCTAAAACTCCATCACTGTTGCTGCTGTTGCACCCAAGTTCCAGCGCAGGGAGGGTGTTGATGGCTCCTCATTATAACCTTGTCATTAATTCACACTTCAGAACTATCCCACTCTACAAGCTGGCACAATGTTTTTACCAGTCCAGAGGGCCAGAAGAAGATGAGAGCAGACCAGCTGCCTTCTGTGGTTACCTTTAAAGGCTACCAGGGTGGTAGACCCACCTCTAGGCTCTCACATGTCAGTAGGGACACAGCAGGGATACAGCAGAATGCAAATTCACTCTGGCAGATAAAACTGGTGTGAAAAACTTCACTGGGCTTACTTGGAACTGGCAAGCTTCCAAAAAGACCAGAGGAAGTTTGTCCTCCTGCCTTCAGCGGGAAAGGGCTGAGCCCTGGCCATGGATGGTCATGGACCCTGCTAAACTATACTAAACTGCATGTTGATCAAGTGATTTGATTGCTCCCTGAGAAAACGAAGAGTAAACAATATAATGTCCAGAAAGAGAGCATGTGGAATCCAGTATGAGGCCCTGGACAGACGGAAGAAAATTTTAGCTGTGCTATACATTGCTTGGAGTTGTTTTATTTGACTAATATAGGAGACATGCCCCAGCCAGCTGTGCTCAGACTTAGATAAACTCTCATACTGAGGGGACTGGAGCTGCTTCCTCAGCCTGCAGCTTTTCTGGCTGTCTCAGTGGTCTGCTAAACATCTGGAGATTTTGGCATGGCCAAAGGACGCTATAAGCATTCCATTTATGAATTGGAAGAGATAGGCACAGTTCCCACCAGCCCCTGCTTTGTTTTTCGAGTTATCATTTGTGCATGTTGTGGATCCCAGCATCAGCACATATCCCAGTGGGATCACACAGTGGGCCTCCTGCTTGAAGAGGTTGGGAATCATGACACATGGACCTTCCCACAAGATTCATTCAGATGATCTACATTATTTGCTGTTCAAATTCAAAACTGCTGCAAGACCCAAAACACCTGAATCTTCTTTTTGCCTTCTATCAGTAGAGAGAGCTCAGAGTTTTCAGCATCTCCTACTTCACCATTCCACTCCATGTTTCCAGCTGGAAAAGCAGAGACTTTTTACTTTGTTTCCACAGTTTGCAACGAGCAGCTGCGTCTCCCGAGTGTGGAATTACAAGGGAAGGTTGTGTATAGAGGAGCTGAACAAGAAAAGCAAAGTTTCCACAGGGTTGACATATTCCCTTTTATTACACTGGTTTTACAGTCATTAATAAAGTTTACACCCATAAATAAAACCTTAAGATGAAGTATTATTACAGTATTGCATAAATACTGTAATAGCATGAAATATTTTCTGAAACATATACACATGTATCCTCATAAGAAATTCTGAAAGCAAGAATGCATGGCTGGTTAGTTCTTTGGAACAGATCAGAGCATGAAAAATGTTACATGCTGGCCTCTCAAGAGGGCACTTGCAGAATCTGACTGCAGAATCTGCAGACGTGGAAGGCCTGATTATGGGGCATGGTCTCCATCCCCACTGGACTCTCAGGAAGCTCTCTAAAGACCAGAGTGTCCTGGATGCCTGGCTGCATCATCCAAACTTCCTTATGGCTTCTCATGCGCTCCTTCTGTTCTGTTCAATCTTCTGTTCTGTTAGCAATGCCCAGCCAGTGATCAGAGTCTTCTCTGGTGGCAGCAAGAAACTTACCAAGGCTGCAGAAGAAAAGACAGCCAGGGACTGGCTTTTCTCGTCTTGTATTGATGCACAAACTGAGCTTGAAAGCATGGTGGTGATGCTCATTAGCACTCAGTTTGACAGAAGTGGAGGAAGCCCCTACGAGGAAGAAAAAAAACCCCAAAAAATATTAAAAATTAGATACCAAAAGCTTAAGCTGTTTCTTCAGCATGATAATTTGAAAATAAAGCATCTGCTCTAGGAGATTATTCTGATCCTCCTTCAGCATGCTAGATAATCTCCCTCAGCATACATTTTTCCAGACAACAGGGTAGCACCTCATAATTTACTATGCCATGTATGCCATTCCTAGAAATACAGACCATTTAGAAACAGAGCATTTAAAAGGTGGCAATTTGCATAGCTGGATGCAGGGGAAGTGGAGTCGGATCCTGTGGAAAGGCAGATTTCTGGAGGGGTTAGAAAGGCCCCCACAGAGGTTTCTAGTACCACACCATGTTTGCAGCATGGCTAACTCCAAGGCTGGATCTGGCAGCTCAGAGGAAAGTTCTCAGTGTCTTCAGGGATGGAGGTGACAGCTTCTCTGGGCTCCAGTACAGCACCATTTCCAGGAGAGACTTTTTCCTTCTATCCTGTTGGAATTTCCCTCATTGCAGCTTGTGTGTGTTACCTTGTTTTCTCTCTGTGCATCCTCGAGGAGAGCTTGGCTCAGTATGTGGTGGAAAACTGCATTTGGCCTTTATGTAGTGGAAAACTACAGCTGGATCCCACTTAGCCACTTTCTCTATAGGTCTAGGAAAGCCTTTTTGCTCAGCCTCTCCTTGTAGGGCAAGTGCCCCAGCCCTTTGCAGTGGTAATCCAGCAAATCCCCTCTGGTTCCTCTGTGTCTTTCTTCTGCCAGGGAGGCTAGGGCTTGATGCAACAGTGTGTATTTCTCTGGAGCACTTGCCTGGAACCCACTCACCTCATTACACCTCTGTGTAATTAGTAAAACAGGGTAGGATGTTCAAAAGGGTTGAGCACAAAGACATTCCCATTCCTTGGGGTTGGTAGTTAGTTAGAACTGTTGATGATGGGCCCTATTCACCTTCGTTTGAGGGGTGTCTTGTGTTTAGCTGAGACAGCAGAGCAGTTGAGCTCTGATTTCTAGCAGGCTTTCCAGCCATCACGACCCTGCAGAAATCATCAGTCCCTGGCTGGGACAGGCAATTTGTTAGCTGGCTCTTTAAAACCAAGACCTGAAGGGCAGATTCCCCTTGTACTGCTGTACAGGGAGCCGTGCTGAGTCAGCAGCACTCTGTCAGCACTCACAGGCATTCAGCAGACAGCTCTGCTCAGCTCCCGGCAGGCATCGCACCCTGCACTTCATTGTGCGCAAGCTGCTAAATTATTTAATCATCTCAGGCATTAGGAGACTCAGAAAGGCTGAAAGCCAAGGGGAAGATGTCTCCTAAACCATTACAGTGCATAAAGTACTTTGTTAGATCAGCTGATTGACTGGATATTGCCACTGACTGTGTATCCTGTCACCTGAATATCTTACTCAGACAAGAAATGGAAAGGTCAGGTCTTGAGGTACTGAAAGTCCTATGTAAGGTTTGGGGTGGATGGAACTGAAATTAAGTGTAATGTGTACCCTTTCCTCAGCCAGAAATAAAACAAGGCATTCATAGTATCCTACAAAGACATTAGTTTTGTGTCTGTGACTCAAAAAAAGTTCCTGCCAGCAGTTTTGTGCATCCCTTCCTCCACCTCCTGCCATCCATTCTGCACAGAAGGACTGCTCAAGCAAGAACTGGCTTGCCCCACAAAGGGTGGCTGAGCCCCGCAGTTAACTCCAGTTTTAGTCTTCTCTCCTGTTTAGTAGACCACTTCCTCTTTCTGATTAGGATATCAGTACAAATAACTTCTACAGTTGTATGGATTGCAAGAAAAAGGGAAAGCAGATCTTGGTCTGCTTCCTTATTTTATCTTTTATTATCATATATTGATACTCTTATCTGTAAAATCTGATCCTGAAGGTAAATTCACCCATCTGGGCTTTTGAACTTGCTCACTTAAGACACTTAACTAAAATCCATGGCCCTGTCCTGAGAGGCAAAATAATATTTTTTCATTATTACATGATTACATGATTTTTCATGATTACAAAATCATGATTACAGAGCTGAAGGAGCTTTTTGGGTCAAACAGCTCTGGTAAGCTGCAAGCTAATGAACTGGTAGCTGATTCATGCGAAGGGTGAAAATAATGTTCCCTTTCCTTACTTAAAATCTGAGAGTATGCTGAATCTCTTCTCTTCTCTGCCCCTGGCCACAAAGGCACAATGTAGCAGCATGGTCCTTGGCAATCTCTTGCCTGCTTGGCTCTCTGCTTATGCAGCTTTGAGCTCATGCTTATTTTTCCTACTATCATTTCTGCTAACACCATTGCTGGGATCATCCAAACCTCCTTTTCCTTGGACTTTTTGCATTTGTTTTGAGTCTTGGTGTTTTCTTCAGGTGTCTACTAACCAAAAAGATATGAAAGAGCTCTATGTTATTCAGAAAGAAGTAGATGTGATGTTCAGCGATGTTCTGGGGCTCATAATATTCTTCTCCAGGTTGGTATGCAACAAAATTTCTCCAGCAGTAACTGTAAGCTAAGAAGAGAGATACCCAGTCACCCTTGATGAAAGGATGCCCAGTTCTTCATTAACATGTCAGTGAGTCATTTGTTTCTCAGTAAGAATACAATAAAGGACAAAGATATTCATACAAGGGTTACACAAATAACTACACAAATAAGTTAGTGGAAAGGGGAACCAAAACTCTACAGCGTAGCAATACGTCTAAAAATGAATTGCCAGAGAGAGAAATTGATCATTCTGGTGGCTTGGGCAGCCCTTATCACAAATAGCACACTGTGGCATAAAGCCAAGAGAGTTGGAATCAGCAAGTGGCAGGAGTGAAAAGGGAAGTGGGACATGCAGTCAGAGCTGGTCAGTCTCTCCTTTTGGCAGCCTTGTGCTTGAGAGCACAGTTTGGTATGACAAGTTGCTTCAGTCATGAATCTGTCTGACCTATCCCAATGATCAGGGAAAACATGGAGTGAACACTCTAACATTTAGCAGTTTCATATTGATCTGAGTGTTGATAGGATGATCAGAGCTTCTGTCAGTGCTCTGGTGCTATAACCCCAGAGACAGTACCCCCAATATAAGCAATGTCCTTTAAGATTACATTTGACCTGGTGGGTTTTGTAGCTCCACACTCCAGTGGTAAGCATCCACACAGCTGTGTGAGGTTCGTCTCTTCAAATATACATTCCTTTTTGTGAGCTGCTTATCTGGACTGCTTTTACAGCCAAACATTACCAGGAAAGCAAGATACACACACAAAAAGGCACACATGCAAGACACGTCTTCTGTGATAAATTGTCTGAAAGTCTCCTTTAGACAAGTTTCCTTCTCTGTTCCAGCTACCAAGGGAAACCAATTACTTGATGCAGCTGGTAAGCTGATCTGTCTGTGTATTCTAGGAGGGTGTCCTGGGGTGACTTTATGATACTGGTATCCCCAATCGTCTGGTTTATGTTATATATTAAGTTCTGCACCTTTAAGACTGGCTTTGAGAGCAAGAGAGGGGGAAGAAGAAGCGCGCAGTTTGTGTTAAGGAAAAACATCACTCCCACACATCCCGCTCCTGGACTGTGGTGTCTACAGGTTCTGTCTTGCCCAGGATTTTACAATGCATATAAACAAGGTGTGGATATCTAGAGAAACCTCCAACCCTCCATGTTTGGATTTGGCAAGAAGAAATGACCATGCTGGTCTTGCTGCTGTACAGGGCTGGGGGAGAAATAAGGCAGAAGAGAGTGACATTTTTGTACTCACTAGTTCTCCCCAAAGCCTATCATCACCTATGTTACACACTAAGAGTGCACATAATCCCAGAACTTTCAATCCACACTTAGACAAAGAGTAGCTGGGTTACCTCCAAGATCCATGATACATATAGAAACTCCATTCATCATCAGGTTGCGGAGACCTTGGCGGTTCCGGACATCGAGGTGCCTGAACAGCTTGGCTGCATGTATTTCCAAGGTCACATTAGGGTGTGACCTCAGGAACTCCAGAATCCTTTCGGAGCAGTTTCCACAGGGACTAGTTGAAAGGAACCAGGTGATGGAGCAAGGAGCTTGTGGCCTGCCATTGAAAGGATTTTCCAAGAAGTTGACTTCAGCATGTCGTCCACAATTGTTTGAGCACCAGTTCCTCCAGATGGAACCATTTCTCCACCTGATTTCATACAGCAGGTACACCGCTCCTCCATTTCGGGTAGGTGAATAATTTCTTTGGAAGTCTGTTGGCTGCATCATCCACCTGCAGAAGAGTACCAGCAGCACTGTGATCCCAGCATTTCAATGATGTTTGGTCCCATTGTGCACTGCCTACTCTCAATATCAGCCAGGACTCCCACTCCCAGCTTTGCCCATCAGAAACCAGCAGCTTGAAGAATGTTGCAATTTAGCAATCTAAATCTGGAATTTGATGAAAACTTCGGAACACCCCCAGCACCTCCTTGAGAACTGTTGGGTGAGTAAACAACCCCATCACCACTCAGAGATCAGCAGCTGTCAAAGCAGTAAGGCAACTGGAAAGGAAGATTGAGGAAAGGGATAGTAAGAATAAAACAAGGCACAAGGCTGTCTCTGGAAATTGCCACGTAGCTCAGGCAGCAGTGAGCAACAGAGCTACATCTCTTACCCTTGGTTGTTTCCTCTGGGTAAGGGACCTGTGTAGACAGAGATTTGTGAGTCACTGAGGATAGCAGGTGAGAAAACAAAATTTCTTGTATACTTTCTGTCCAGACCCCTTTCAGTCTATACACCCCCTGCCAAATCTCTTTTCTCTAAAATGATTCAAAAAGTAATTACTGCACAGCAGGATAGGCTCTCTGGAATGCAGGAGATGTGGACTCCTACCTGGGAGTTGAACTTGATGGTTATTTAAATTATATTGCACATGAACCCTTGCTCAGTTTAGCACATTATGATTGTGTAAACACTCAAGTTTAAATTCCCTGATTTCAGCAGTACTAAATCTGTCTTTCTCTGACTAATCAAAGAGCAGAATCAAATGGCTTATCCCTTAAAAACTTCCAAACCACTTCTACAAGATAGGCAAAGCTTGAGCCATTTTCCCATTGGTACTCATAATCTAGACAAAAACATTTCCACAAGTGACTTCCCATCGGTAACTTTCTAAAAAAAACTAAAAAAAAAAAACAGTGCCAAGGAAAAAAATACCGGTACACAAAGGAGGGCAACAAATACATACAGGGTGGCAATGCAGACCTGCCTGATTATACATCATTTATCTTCCACAGTGGCAAGCAACTTTGACCCCGTGACTTACTCATGTCTCTAAACCCTTCCCAGATGAGGGTCTAGAGAAAAGCAATTGCAGCTGATCAAGGCTACTTATTTATTTTGTAAAAATCCAACAGAAAACTCTAGGAACCGTCATTTTACTTCAAAAAATAATCTATTTAATTTTTTTAAATTTTAAGTGTATATAAAATATAAATAATTAATTTTATTTTTAGTTTTCATGTATTATACATCATATAATAAAGATTTCTTTTAAAATTTACTTAGAATTAAGATACTAAAGGCATTTTATTGCAGCTTATCTCTTGAAGATGAGAAATTATTAATTATACAGAGTAAAATTACATTTTAACAGGAAGAAAATAGTTTTCCGCATCAACAGAGACATGATCACCTCTTTGCACAGCCTTATTACCCTGATTCTTTAAGAAGAATATTCTAGTTATATTCCACAATGAAAATAAAATAGATGAATAAGCTAACTAAATTGCTCCATTCTTAAATGCCTTTGAGATCTCTCTTCACAGTATAAGTTATTTTGGATTTTGAATTCTTCCTGCCATACCAAGGTTAACATAATTATATTAATATTTTGAAGCTGGACCTAAGACTCAAGATATGGTGATGTGTTCAAAGACATAACACACATACCCACGTCTGCCACCTGTGCATCCACTTGCCAGCAAAACACATTTGTGTCTACACTCCAGTCCTTTAGATACAACTACAGTAAATATCTATAGTTGAATATGGAGAAATAGGCCTGCCTTTCACATAAATGTACTTACGTCTGCCAGCAGCCATGGGTATTTCTGGATTTGTGTGTTGCTTCCTGGGAGTGTGCCTTTATAAATCTTATGTTAGTTTCAGTTTCTATTCCTGAATCAGAATACTATCAGATCTTCCGGACTTATTCATGTTGCTCAGCGTTTCCTTATGCTGACTTTCTTCACGATTACTTGCACTATCCAACTGGCTGAAGCTGAAAGCAAGCCCCTGGCAGCAAAGAACTGCAAATGGGGGTGATCCCACACAGAAATTGAGTACAAGGTTGCCTTCCAGAAGCTGGGCTTAACAGGCGAGCCACTTTTTTCTGTGCAGACAAAAATTACATTTCTTTTTAAACTCTGGCTTCAGAACAGAAAAGCAAATCTTCTCTAGTCACCCAAATGCAACAAGAGGGAAAATCATCTACAAAAATGGCATCAAGCCACATAGCTCTGGCATAGCATGTCACTTTTGTGACGCCCACATGCCACAAGGAAGTTGAACAGTGCCCAATGGAAAGAGGGAAACAGAAGACATCACATGCAAAACCTGTGAGTCTGTGGAACTCCAGCAGGTGGTGGTGGTTACTGCCATTTCCCTTCATGGACTTCTGGGGAGTTCCAAGGACAACTCACACCCCCTTGAGCCTGAGTTCTCACATAATCAAGGAAGACACTCCATGTGTGTGAGCACTGAGCTGTGGTCAGTGACTGGGCAGCTGCTCTCAGACTAACTCTAAGTAAGCTTCCCAGCATCCAGGAGAGCTCTGGCAGTGGACACCTTATTGTGAGGGAACATCCAGGTATTTTTGAAATACCACAACTGAGAAGAACTCTGTACTCATGTGGACACTCTGAGAGGAAGACCTGAGCCACCTGCCGAGTATCTGAAGAAGCAATTGGTCATGGTATCAGTTCACTGATATAAATAGGCATTTTCCAGTGCCCTGATAAATCTGCTCAGCGTTATGGATTGGGCATCACCTTACTGTGATCAGCTCTGTCACTCTCACAAGTGAGATGCAGCAAAAGAATATTTCCCATTTAACCTGAAAAATTACTGAAACAATGCCAGTTTCTTGTGAGAAGCTCTCCTCTGTCTGACACACCCAAAACCTGCTCGCAGAGAATAGGGGTTACAAAAGAATTCTTCACATGGCTTAGGTAAAATCAGTCTGTCACTCAGTTTTTTCTGGTTTTGTGACACAATTATTTTTGGCCTCATGCACGATGTAGAGACTGCCTTCCTTGGTGCCAAGCCGGATGTGGGATTTTAAAGCTAAGGGAGTGATTAATTTGTATTGTCTGCAGCAAGCTCTCAGTATTATATTGTCAAAAAGTATTCACCCTCCTGCCAGGGCAGGAAAAACCCCAGAAGTGTACATGAATGGTGGAGTTCAGAGGGAGTAGGGATTCAGGCACTGGCAGGGCTCTGCCAAGGAGAAGACTGCTTGTGGCAGGTCATCAGGCAGTGCCAGCGCAGAGTCTGCCCTCGGGGCCTCCTCTTGCTGCAAGGTCACTCCCCACTTCTCAGCACAGAATGGTTCCCTGGTGGCTGCATTGTTTCCTGCCACAGAAGGGTTAAAGAGAGCAACTCAAACACTCAGGGGTTGTTGAAAGAAAAACGTGATTGACTAATGTGGTTTTGAGTTCCTGGGCGTGATTCTCGGTGAGACCGGGAATGCTTTGGTGCTGTAGTACTCCTTTCACTGCCCTGTCCTTACAGTACATATTTGCAAATAAGCAGGTGTGAATTAGGCTTAGAGATGATTAGCCTGATCTGCAAGGAATGGCTTGATTAGCAGCAGTAGTTCCTGACAGAAAACCAGCAATGTGCCACAGAAAGCGGAGAAAGAAAAATGTCCAAGCAAGGAATCAGCAATGCAACCTTTTCAGGTGTCTTCAGGAAGCTAAATGTCCTGCATGAGATGGTGGAAAGCCAAAATGAAAAAAAAAATTTTAAATTAGAAATATTGCTCTGTTAACCTACTGTGAAAAGACTAATCCCTTCCAAATTCGGTAGTTGCTTTAACCCTAATCAGGAAGAAAAGGTTGTCACACAAGTGAATTTTCATACTTCTAGAAGAATTTGCACATTCTGTTTATGGGAACCACGCTCTTCAGTCAGGAGGAGGATGAGGACCTCCAGAAGGACCACACAGCTAGGTGGGAAACCTGTTCCTTGTTTTTTATGAGCAACCAGCAGTAATCCAGTATCCCTTTAAATTGCTATGTGTCTGTAGCAAGGATTATCTATATAGGTGGAGTCTTGTATTATTCAAACAACTGTGGCAAAAATTTTTATTCCACTTCTCATGCAGTCAATTATGTCCCCTTACAGAAGCTGCTTAAGGTAATGTAAGAGATAAATGTGGAGGTGGTTCGTGATGCTGAGCTATTGGTAACATCTGAATATATCTCAACCACCCCACCAAAAGGATTTTTTTAAATAACTACTACCCTCACATGCATTCCCTCATGAACCTGCGTGTGTTTTGGAGGAACATACACAGCAAAGAGTACATAGAATGGTGGACAGACACTTACTTATGGCTCCTTAGACCTTCATGAGAATATTCCCTTTGGTGGTAGTAGAGCCATGTTGTATACACACGACCAGGTTCACCAGGAAAAATAATCTAGAAGCTTCACAGTTTCTTCAGATAATTTTACAAAGAGCCTCCAGGATGCACACTAAGTGATAGAGAGGTGGACAGAGCATCAGGGAGCTAGGTCCCTTCAGAATCTCCCAGGAAAGAGCTTGCAGCAAAACAGGTCTGCAGCATCACTATTACAGAAGTGTTGTCTGCTGAGGTACCACTCCCTTTTCTCAAGCATCTTTTAGCTTATCTGACACTGGAAACACAAGATGTGCATCTAGTAACAAATCTGGACAGAGACAGAGTCCTAGAAATTGAAATATATCGAAGAAATTAGGAAAGATGGACAGGTTAGAGAAGAAAGAGTAGCAAAGAAGGAAAGTTAAATCAGACATCAAAGAAGACAAAAAGGGACAAGGTTTGAATCAGATAAGATCACAATTTGCAAATCTCTGAGGATTTTACAGATACTGAGCTTTTTATTCTCTGGCTGAATGATCTGTTGGAAAGGGGTAAGAATCACCAAGTGGAAGTCAGGAAGCAAAGCGAAAGGTTAAATTTAAATGTGACAAAAGCCTGGGGCTTATGCCACAGATGCTTAAGTCTCAACCTCCACTTACAGACTGCCTCCTGGACTTAATTTGAAATGGTAAATCCGGTGTTAGTTCAAGTGTTCTGCTGCTGACACATTTGACAGTAAATGGAAAATCCACTGAATGTGTACTTAGATTTAATGGAGTTTTCTCAGTAGGTATCTATATTTGTATGGAAAGAAAAACCACACAGAGCCTTCTGAGTTTTATTCTGTGACCTCCACATTTAAAAAAGGCTAAAACATGCTTATGTATGAACCTCTATGTATGAATTCACACTCATGAAGATATTTATGGATACATATATGTGTACGCACAATAATGCAATAATACATACAAAAACAAGCTTGTAGATACACGAATACATCTCCTTGGCAGCATATTACTTTGCAACTCTGATAAGCACACCGACCCATGGCTCTTTTATCTCTCCCAGTACCTTTGCTTTTATTTTCTCTGCAGGCTGCACAGCGGTACCATACTTTACCGAGACTCTTATTCAGCCTCCATATGTGGAAACCGAAGCATAAGAGACTAAGATAACTGGTGGCACCCTGCCACTGCTGGGTGAGCTTTATGAGGCTGACTCTGAACAGTGAAGTGGAATGGCAGCCAGCCACAAGGATGTGCAGGCAGAGCTCTGATCCACAAAGTGAAAAATAATTGGCTAGTGGGAAGAACTTACCTGTGTGCTTACTTTGGTAACAAAACATCCTGATATCCTTGTAATATAATTCGTTCACATTAACTGGTGAGGTTGTAGAAATCAAAGAATTTCCCAGCTCACTAACAATACTTCATGAGGAGTCTTTGTGAAAAGAAAATCTGCAAGTGAACATATCTGTATTTTGGAATGTTTTTCTACTCTAAGCAGTCCATCTACATTATTCTCACTCTACTTTGAGTCACAGAAGTTCTATGTATTTATCTTTCTGATTTGACTTAATTTCTATGTCTTTGTTTCAATGCACAGATTTTGTCAAAGCACGAAGCAGAAAAGTAAGTACCCCAAACCCTGTGGGGATTAGTGTCCATGCTCTGCTCGAGAGCCTGAGTCAGTCATCACACAACCAGCAGAGCTTTAAATATGAAGGGGACCACATAACCAGGTGGACTTCGTTTGAGAGAAGCTATAGGTTGTACCAAAGAGAGAGTTCAGAGCAGCTCTAGGAGCTTTCAGCTCTGAGATTTTCTTCCACAAGCACTCAGGGATTGCTCAATGATTAAATATATGGTTAAACTCTCCTCAGAATTCACCTGGAAGCTGTCATGGGAGGCAAACCCTCCATCAAAAGCAGAAAACATCTACCAGGACCTGACATGAGAACCTTTGGGCACCTTAAAGGATGGAGTTCATTTTCTTCATTGCAGTCCATACTAAACATATTAGCTCCTGGGCCATCTGCAGGCAGTGTGTCAGTGGAAGCCACAAGTAAGGGTGGTCAAGATAACCAATTCTTATTTTTTTTTTAAGCCATCAGGGCCCCAAGAGGCACGGACCATAATAATTGTCTTAATTTTTTATTGTGAAAACAGTTTGGGGTTCTTTCTTGCTCAGGAATGTCACAAGCTTGCTTTGGCCAAAAGCTGGTTACAATGTGAACAGGCTAGGAGAGCCAGAACTAAGGAAAATGAGCCTTGGCACAGACAGAGCATCAACAACCACCCCCAAAGTTGCTGGGAAGGTTATACTGTGATATCCTTTGTTTGGCAGCCTGTGCCAACAGCTATTTACATGGGAACACTTGGTCCACTTTATGAATTTTGCCCTGCAGTTTCACATTGTTTCTTTCTCACCCCCCCCATAATAACTTGTGTGATCAGTTTTCTCTGCCTCTTTAAAAGCACAAGGGGTTTCCAGTGGATGCATGGAGTGGCTCAGTTCCAGGATGGACTTGCAAATGAAAATAATTACTTATTTCTTTTATCTGAGTGGAGGTGCTGAAATGCAATCACCATGGGTACTGTAATTATCATTCCACAGTCACACCTCCTGATAGATGATTTGCTTCTGTTGAACGGAGCATGTGTGGATTTTTGAAGCTGCGTTTTAAAATCAAGTGCTGCTGTCAGTTACATGTTAGAGCTCCCACGGAAACAGTGGAAAATCCTCTAGGTTAGCACAGTCTTTCTAATGCAGACTAGTGTTTCAGTGATTAATGATGAGACATGATTATAGCAAGAACTGACATTTACTGTGATTAATTGATCAGTTTGAAACAGAGACAAGTGCTTATTTACATGACTAACTATAAGCTTCTGGAATTTTCTGCTCCAGTAAACTGTGGACGAAGATAGCAGGACAAGGTGAAACTAGGTCCATATACAGATGTCTTGGGTTGCAATGCAAGATGAAACCAAAAGTACATATTCTATCTGTTGAAACCAGGTGGGGCAGTTTTCTTTATCTCTTTCATGACCCGTCCCTCATAACTGGAGGATATCTTCTGTTAATGGGCCATTGAGTGCCACTGCATGGCTGATAAAATTACATCATCCCACTGTGAGATGCTCCATCCAGGGGGAGGAGCCAAGCATCTAAACCAGTATATCTTTAGCAGCTTGGAATACCACAGCAGCCTTTCTCCACTGAATTCCCAGAGGAGAGAGACCAGACCCATCTACACCACCAGACCTTCAGAGGAAACCTACGCCCTTCTATGGTGTCATTATTTCAACAGAACCACATCTGTCAGTCCAGGACTGCAGCCACCATTTAATTGGACTGCTACAAACACTCTGACCAACAGGAACAGGGTGTCAGATTATATTCTGATTCTGTCACTGGGTTGTGGGGGTTTTTTTTGTTTCTTTGGTACTACTGCATTTTTATTTTCATTTTCCTAGTAAAGAACTGTATATCCCCGTATCCTTGCCTGAGAGCCCCTTGATTTCAAGATTATAATAATTCGGGGGGAGGGGGTGGTTTACATTTTTCCATTTCAAGGGAGGTTTCTGCCTTCCTTAGCAGACACCTGTCTTTTCAAACCAAGACAACAGACAGTAGAAGTGAGATGCAGGGCTCCCAAATGAAGTCATTGTAGGTATTGAGGTAGTAGGACAGGATCATGACAAACCAAAACTAGTGGCCAGGATTGTCTGCACTCTGTAAAAAACAACCCCTCTGCCCCTGCTAGATACAGTGTCTGGACTATGCTTTCTGCCCTGATGGAGCATTTTCTGTGGTTCTGTTCCTCTTGAATCGTGAGGTAGAAAACAAGGCTATCTGAGAGGACAGCAAGTCTCCAGAGATGTTCCTTTTGGCATCCTGACCATCTCTCTCCAGATGATGTGCCCTGGGACCCCAGGAGCCTGTGTTGGAAGACCAAAACTGAGGGGATGATAAACCCAGAGACAACCCCAAACTGGTTCAGGAGTGACTGCTCCAGATGGATGCACACAAATCTATGGGGCCTGATGGAATTCATCCCAAGGTACTGAAGGAGCTGACCAGTATCATCACAGGACCTTGCATTATTTTTCAGTGGTCTTGGGAGTCTTGAAAGGTTCCAGGTTAAGTGGAAGGTGACAATGTTGTTCCAATGTTTCAAAAATGTAAAGAAGGAAAACCCTGGTAATTAAAGGCCTGCCGGTCTCACTTCAGTGCCTGGTAAAGGTACGGAGAAGGTTATTCTCAGAGACAATTATCAGGTCCTGAGAGGGATATCCTGGACCACCTTCTCTGAGGTAGACAACATCTGGGATAGCCTTGGGCTAAATTAAGGCAAAACAACACCAAGCGATCAATTAGAAAGTTTTATTTATACAGACCACAGCAATTTAAGCCATATGATAGGTTCAGCAGCCTGTAGCAGCAACAGCTTATACATTTCTGAACAGCTTGCAGATTAAACCTTTCTGAACAACATGTGGCAACAGTGATCTTTGAGCAGCCTGCTGGAGCAGTAAGTTAAACTTTTAAGAAGAGGGAGAAAGGAAGAAGGAAAGATAGAAAAATGGAGGTAGAGCAAAAAAGACTTGGCCTTGTCCAGTTTCTAAATACAGAAAGGTAAATACATCTCTTGCCAAGGAAAAGATACATGTATCATATTGCTAACAGCACTTTGTTATGAGCAGATGGAAATATAAACTTTGGTTGGAAGGTTCATCTAGAGGTCAACTTTGGTTCATGGCCTCAGGGCCTGTTGTTCAGGCCTCAGTACTTCACCTTCAGGGTAAAATGTCCAGCACACAGCTAGAGAAATCCACAGGGCTCTGGGTGAGTGATGCCTCAAGAAGTTACAGTCAATAGGTTTACATCAGGCTGGTGACCAGTCACCACTGGGGTTCCTCGGGGCTCATTTTTACAGCCAGCGATCTTCAACCTTCTTATAAATCACCTGTATGGAGGAATCAGATGTAGGAACCAAAATTAAGGAATCTTGCCAATGAGACTTGTAGGAGTAAAACGGGCTCGCAGTGGGAGACTTCTCTAAGCCAGGCTGCTCTTGGGATAAGCAGTTTATTATTTAGGTAGAGGGTGGAAGAGATCCTTTTACACTGCCAGCCACAGCGTAAACGTGCTCAAAGAGGGAGAAAGAGAGAGGAAAGAGGAGGCTGAGAGCATGAGGGCAGAAAGTAATGAAGGGGGTAGAGAGAGAGGGGCAAGAGAGGGTAAGAGAGGGTAAGAGCCTAAGAGGTAAAAAAGTCACAGGTTAAGAGAGGTTAAGAGGGAGCTTAAGAGAGTAAGAGGTTAAGGAGGTAAAGAGGTAAAGAGAAGAAAGTAAGAGAGTAAGAAGTAAAAGTACTTAAGAGAGCGAAGCTCTTGTTACAATGCATTATATATTTTTCTATAGTGAATATTCTAATTCACAGTAACCAACCAGTACATGGCACACGTTCTATAGAATTTACATACAGCCTATAAGAACTACTACATTACCATAGTGTTACATTTTAAAAGCTAGTCTTCAAATTCTTCTCTTGCTGCTTTGACCTTTGGATTCACTAATTAGGGTATTGTTCAATCAACAGGGATTCTCCTTCAGCTGGCTAGGCTACTGTTCTTTGGTTATATAGTAACTAACAGTCAGTATCCTATAGCTCAAAGCTAGTTTTCATTTCTATTTCAATTCTAGGTTTCATATTTTCAGAATATTTTGCTAAGCAAACATATTCATAAGGTTTCTCTGTTTAATCTTCCCCAGCAAGACTAAACTAGGAGGATGTGTGGATTCCCTTGAGGGTACAGAGGCCCAGCAGAGAGATATGGATACTGAAGAGCTGAGCAGTCACCAACTGCATGAAATATTACAAGAGCAAGTGCTGGATTCTCCAGCTGGGACCGGGTAATCCTGAAATTTGGGCAGTCCTGAAATTTATGTAGTCCTGGAACCACTGACCAGTGATGGGACTAGTGTAAATGGAATGAAACTGCATTTGTGGATGCTCAGCTTGGACATTAGAAAAATTTTGGGCTCGTTGACTACAGTCTTGCTTCAGATTTTTGCAGCGTTTGCACTACTGAATAGTTGGAGATGTCAGCAGTCTAGGGTGGTCTTCTGATGGTCTTCTGATGCCATTTTAAGCTTGGTTTCTTCCTTTATGGTCTTCTGCTCTTCACTTATGCTACCTTGGATATACATTTTGTAATAGCAAGCATATCTTAAAACACACCTTTTGCAAGACAACTTACATCTTGTGAAAGCCATTATTGCCCCTTTTACGTTGCCTAAAAGTAATTTAAAAATTTACCATACTTAAAAGCAATATAAGACTTACTCTAATTATCTACAAACAGTTACAATTTCATAATTAAAACAAACAAATTATAGCAAAAGCCAACTACTACAACTGTTTATAACACGGATGATGCTTTTAGCCATGTTGTTCAGTTTTAGGTAGAGTGAGTAGAAGGGAGTTAGAATTGATGATCATTCTGGATCTCTTTCAACTTGAGATATTCTGTGATTCTTTGGTTCTAGTAATGAAGACCCTGAAATGGAAATAGAAGTATGACATTTAGATCCTCCAATTGCACTTTGATCCTGCTGTGATTTGAAACAGACATAGCAGAAGCAGTCTATTAGCTGTAGTAGCCCAAGATGTTACTTTTCCACATATGCCATATGAAATGGATTTCCCAAATAACCAATGACCCACATAGCCATAGATTTCTTTCACACTCTCATTTACTAGAAATAGCATTTGTCAGAAAATTCTAATACATAGAAATCAAATGCTGAAGCACTTATATCAGCTTTGATAGATTTTTTTTTTTTTTTAATACAGTCCTTCCCAGCCAAGGATGTGGACCTATTCATCCAAGCAAAGTCTCTTGGCTCTAGGGACAAAAGCTTTCAGCACTGTTGTTAAACACACTCTTCTATCTCCTGCCTTTCAGGAGGTCTGGCACAAAACAAAAACAAAAGCAAAGGCTGAATTTTCCCAGGGTACAGACATTCTGTTTTGAACAGCTTTTCTCATCTCACAGAAACTGCACCCTTCCAACCAGTCACAGAAGTTACTGAATGGAATCTAGAAGGGACTTTAATAATATATGCAGGGCCCCAGTGACTGGGGGGTTTAAGACCACTGCAGATGTTGAGAGAAAGGGGCTGAGTAACATCATTTGGCAAAGTGAAACCCAAGCTCAAATCCAGGTTAAAAAGGAATCTGGTGGACGGTTTCTGAGATGAGACTGGAGTTCCAGGTAAAAATCAAGGAATTTCCCACCCTGGAACCCAAAGGAGAAAAACTGCACTCATAGCTTTTCCTTCATAATATTGTTGCCTTTTTCAACCTAGAAATGAAACCTGAGATTATTTTAGTATAGGAGGTAATATAAAAGTGGATTTTTATTTGGAGGCCTCCAGGAGCAGTTATGGAGAATGTCCACAAAAGCCCCCCCATACAGGGTGAATATAGGTGATTTAGGAAATTAGCATAATTGATAAAAAGCACCAATTAAGATGACAAGTGGTAATGCAACCCAACCTCCCCCAACCCCCCCCCCCCCCCCCCCCCCCC